GTAATAGTGCGGCAAACCTGCGGGTGTTTATCCAGACTGAAGGTCTCGCCATAACCTCTGGCTTTGATTTTGTTGGCCTCCCTGTCGAACTCCAGAATCTTTACTTTCTATTCAATCCAATTGATCCGCAATTCAATCACAAGCCGGTCAACCATTTAAATGTAACAAAAAATACAGATCTTTAACGAAACACTTAAACATAAACTAAAGGCAAGGGATGGACACAAACCCGAGCGATAAAAAAGGGTTCGGCGCTGAAGCCAAAGAGGAATTCGTCTAAAAACTGGTAGAACAGCGACTGGAGGTCGTGGCCCTCGACCTCAATGTCGTGGGTGTCGGTGGAGTCGACGGTCTGTATTTCCGTCATATACGCAAACATAGCGACCGCCGACTGCTCGAAGGCTTCGGCTAAAGACGTGCCCCCTATTAGCGGTCATAACACAGCAATCAATGCATACATCACTTCATATGAATGGCAAAGCATGGCATACAGGCGTGGATTCTGTGCGGCAAACATATGAGACACTGTTCAGACATTCAGTGATAATCAAGTGATGAGCACTTACTGGACATCCGCCGTGTGGTCCAAGTCTGCAATGCAACCAAATGTACGGTTATTATCAGTTCATTAGATCCGTGGCTGAACTCACATTCGTATTGTTGTGGCGGAAGTGTGGTGTCCTCTTCGGTGACAGTGATGTCAATGGGATTATCCATACCTCGAGACTTGTGAGCAAATGAACGAATCGATTGAATGGCAAATGAATGGCAAACAAAACCAAATCAATGTTTGTTTCACTTTTTGTTCAAAGAGTTGACTCGCGTTTGCATTGCATTGCAGGCAACATATGATGTAATAGTGGGCCACACATACACTACAGTACCACACATTTGTTCATCAGTTTCTGTCCCCTATATGTCACATACAATCGACATACCATATAACATATCTGTAATAAATACATGATAATTGTTCATTTTAATAAGTATACATTATACCTGTATAGTTTATACTTTAAATAGCACAATAATTAAGCTGATATAGAGTTTAATTCTCATCAAGCACATTTATGTAATCGCTGTATACTATAGCGAGTGTGTGGTGTATATCTGTGTCTGAATTCATTGAGCAAATCGATTGAGTCATTGGGTTTGTGTTAAGGCATGCGCTGTACTCGTGGTGAGCATTGGTGTATGAATGAAATGAATGTGAAATATAGTGAAGAGTTAGTCCTCTGTGTGCTCTCAACGCCACTACTCTATAGACCTGTCATTCAATTGATACACAAAACAATCAAATCGTCGAAAACACTGTATTTGCCATTCAGTCAAATGTTATCAACCATTCATACAATCACTCAGTAATTGCTGCAGTATTTATACTCATCTAATGACAACTCATGTATTATTAATTGTTATATAATATTATACCATTGATTTTGAACCAAATATTTTCTATGCGAGTATTTAAACGTATCATAAGTTTTATGTTTTTCAAAAACACGGTCTCTTTCTCCATGTATTTGGTGTTTGTATTCATTTGTTTGTAAATATTAATACTGTTTACACGATTGGCATTCATATGAACGTAAGTCTCTTGTCATTCATGTAATTGTAGTTTTATGTTATATTTTATGCCATATTTTTAATGTGTTTTGTGTTTACGAGTTGTGAGGACAGGCACTCAATTAAATG